ATTATTTTAAAAATGTTTAATATATATACTAATTCATTTCATTTACACAAATAATTTACCTTGGTTTGTTGAAAAGAAAAATTTATGTTGTTTCTTTTTTTGTAAGAATATTTTTGGCTTATGAAGATCTTATACTCTGAGAAACGCCTTTAAGAATAATGATGTGCAGTATAATAACTATTGTTATTCTTTGATTATAAAATTTTATTTTCTTCATAAAGTAATTTTTTTATTTTAAAAAGCCAAAAATGTAGCTCAGTAATCGAGTGCTTACCTAGCATGAGTGAGAAACTGGAGTTAATTCCCAGTACTGAAAAGAAAAAAACAATTGACTTAGTAATAGGTTTTGATGGTGTCACAGCAGAGAAACAAGCAGAAGAAAAAAGGAAAGGGGCTTTATTATAAATGGGGCTTTATTATCTTAGAAGATACGGAGAGAATTTGGAAAGATAAGGAATTCTCTGGATTGGAACAGAGAGGCTGAGGCTTTCACAGCCTTTTCTCAGGGGTGGGACTTGAGGGGGATGTTTAAGAGGTGGGGTCTATCTATAGACCCGAGGAGCTGACTGGGGCCTTCCCTGAGGTGGAGGGAAAGGACAAAGGAAATTGCACCCTGGGTTGAGCTGGAGAAGAGGGGAGAGGTGGTCTCTTGGAAGATAAGCTGTTGTTTTAAGGGTTTCGGTCATATTAGATAAGCATCATAATTATTCAGCAATTCTTAGTAGGCCAGAACCTATCACTTAGCATGAAAACTTCTTTTCTTTTTAATTTTTTAATTTTTAATTTTTTTTTCCTTAATTTTATTGAGAAACAAATAGCAATGAGACAGTATCAAACCAAATTGGTAGGACAGTTTCAATAATTAACACATTGCATACATTCTTCCTGGTGGTTAATTGCTGTACAAGAGGCGGACATGATATCCTATTTAAAAACACCATTAGAACAAATCCCTCTATTCAATAAGAGAATGTAACTATATATCTATCCTAACCACTCTGAATACACAGATACAAAATGGACATTCATCTGTATCCCCTTTTTTTGTTTAGTTCCATCATTTAAATATTATTGGTGTGGTGCTCGCTTCAGCAGCATATGTACGAAAATTGGAAAGATACAGAGATTAGCATGGCCCCTGCGCAAGGATGACACGCAAATCCGTGAAGCATTTCATATTTTTCAGCTGCACATGGGTCATTTTCTAAAATAGACCACATACTGGTCCATAGGTCATGCTTAAGTATATATAAGAAAACAGAAATTATCCCATGCACATTATCTGACCACAGTGCAATACAACTGGAAATAAATCACAAAAAAAACCCAGAAAAAAACTTTAAATACATGGAAATTAAATGACACCCTACTCAGCAACCAATGGGTAACAGATGAAATTAAACAACAAATTCAACAATATCTACAATTCAATGAAAATTCAAGCACAACTTATCGTAATTTCTGGGGTACGATGAAAGCAGTTCTCAGAGGGAAATTCATAGCTCTGAACTCACACATTAGGAAAACAGAATGAGAACAAATAACTACCCTAATGCTGCACCTTCAACAACTAGAAAAGGAAGAGCAAACCAAACGCAGAGCCCAAAGACCAGAGGAAATCATAAAGATTAGAGCAGAAATTAATTCAATTGAGAC